GACGCCACCAGGGGGCTGTACTCCCCTTACTTCTTAGTGCCAAAGAAATCAGGCGGGGTGCGTCCCATTCTGGATCTGCGCGTGTTAAACGAGTGCATTTCCAAACGGCAGTTTCGGATGCTGTCCACAAGGCAGCTCCTCGAGTGTGTCAGGGAAGGAGACTGGATGACTTCCATAGACCTGACAGACGCATACTTCCACGTGCCCATAGTGCCAGAACACAGGAGGTTTCTGCGCTTCGCAGTGGGAGAGAGGAATTACGAGTACTGCCGTTTACCCTTCGGGTACGCACTCGCGCCTCGGACCTTTTCCAAATGTGTGGAAGCAGCTCTGGAGCCGATCAGACGTGCGGGGGTAAGAATATTAACCTATATAGACGATTGGTTAATACTGGCCCCATCCAGGGAAGTGGCCGTGAGCCACACGCACTGGGTCCTGTCCCACATACAGCGTCTGGGCTTTGTGGTGAACAGGGAGAAGAGCAAGCTGCAGCCAGCCCAACGCATGGTTTACCTCGGTCTGCAGCTAGACTCTGTGATATTCCGTGCTGCATTGTCCGTGGACAGACGGATGAATATTACCCGTCTGGCCCGGGAGGTTCTGGCGGGCCCCAGAGTCCCCGCTCGGCGCCTCAGGTCCCTGCTGGGAATGATGGCAGCGGCTCATGCTGTGGTGCGGCTAGGCCTGCTCCACATGAGAAATTTTCAGAGGTGGTTCTCGCGCCTCAGGCTTCACCCCTCCCGGGACGGGGGAGGCTGATCTGGGTTCCCCAAGGGGCAGCATCGGACATCAGGTTCTGGCTCACTCCGGGTCTATTGCGGGACGGAGTGACTCTGGCCTGCGCTGTGTCTCACGTCGAGGTTTTCACGGACGCGTCGCTCGAAGGATGGGGCGGGGTCCTTGGCCAGAGCTCTGTAGGAGGCTGCTGGTCGGACTCAGCCCGTCACATCAACCTGCTGGAGATGGAGGCAGTGCACAGAGTACTGCTGCACTTTGCCCCTCAGCTGCAGGGGAGACAGTGATGATAGATAGATAGATATATACTTTATTGATCCCGAAGGAAATTGTGCACTCGTCCCTTGCTCGCAATCATACAGCAATACATACACAGGTAAGAATTATAGGATGCAAAAGTTAAAAACGAGACAATAAATACATTAAAAACAATAAAAACATTAAAAGAGAAGTTAAGGCACTGCAAAACAATTCTCAAGACACCCCACCCCCCTCCCTCCCCCCCTGCTCCTCCTGAAGTGGCTTTGTTATAGAGCCTGATGGCGTTGGGGACAAAAGAGTTTTTTAATCTGTCCCTGGAGCACCTCAGAGAGAGGAGTCTGGAGCTCATGGTGCTTCTCTGGCGGGAAAAAAATGAATTCAGTGGGTGGCTCTGGTTGGACAAGATCACCTGATCTTGGAGAGCGTTCTTTGCTCTACCACCTCCTCCACTGAATCCAGACCCAGACCCACCACAGAGCCCGCCTTTCTAATGAGCCGGTTCAGCCTCTCAGTGCGCTCAGACAACACCACAGTGGTCTCCTATCTGAACAGGCAGGGGGGCACCAGGTCCCCCGCTCTCCATCGCATGGCGACGGTGACGCTGCTGTGGGCGGCGCTTCACCTCCTGTCTCTCAGGGCATGCCACGTCCCGGGGGTCCGGAACGTGGGAGCCGACAGAATGTCCAGGGGGGGCCCACTCCAGGACGAGTGGGGCCTGGCCCCACGGGTAGCTGCGGAGATCTGGCGGAGGTTCGGCCGTCCAGTAGTCGACCTTTTCGCCAGTGCAGAGAACGCACAGTGCCCGTCCTGGTTCGCCTTAAGGGCCGCGGACGAGCCGCCTTTAGGCGTGGACGCTCTGGCTCATTACCCATGGCCAGGCGGCCTGTTGTACGCTTTCCCACCGGTGCGTCTCCTGCCGGTCCTGCTGCGGAGGATCGAACAGGGAGAGGAGATCGGTGATTCTGGTGGCTCCGGACAGTCCGCATGCCCGGTGGTTCCCCTTCCTGAGGGGCATGGCGGTGATGGAGCCTTGGGCCCTCCCGGACGAGCCGGGGGCTCTAGTCCAGGGGGCAGGAGCCCTGTTTTCACGTCCGATAATCGGCCGCAGGCTCTGGGTTTGGAGGTTGAGAGGCGGAGCCTCGTAGATCTGGGTCTTCCCCCTGCGGTGGTGGAGACCATTCAGGGAGCGAGGGCGCCGTCCACCGTGAGGGCCTACGCCACGAGGTGGAGGCTATTCAGTGTCTGGTGCGATTCCCGTTCCTGGGATCCCAGGTGTTGCCCGCTGGAGGGGGTCCTGGGATTCCTACAGGAGCTCTTCGACAAGGGGAGGGCTGTCGCTACCTTGGCGGTGTTTGCGGCAGCCATTACTTCGGGTCACGACGGGTTCGGGGGGTTCACAGCCCGCTCTCACCCGTTGGTTAAACGTTTTCTGCGGGGGGGCGCGCAGGAGGAGGCCCCCGCTCCCAGAGAACGCCTCCGGTTTGGGACCTCAGGGTGGTCCTTAGGGGGCTGTCGGGTTCGCCTTTTGAACCGGCGGCGGAGGCGAGTCCCGAGTGTATCGCTTTTAAGACTCTGCTAAGAGGGCGGGCGATTTGTGTGCGCTCTCCGTCCATGCGTCGTGCCTGTCCTTTGGAGAGGACGACGGCATGGTGGAGTTGTGGCCCAATCCGGCTTTTCTCCCCAAGGTCATCACGTCGGCCTTTAGGTCGAGAGTCATCAGGATTAGGGCTTTCCACCCGCCGCCGCATGCCTCCCCCGAGGAGGAGCGGCAGCACCTTCTGTGTCCTATCAGAATGCTGAGGCATTACCTGGCCATGACGTCGTCATTCAGATCGGGTGATCAGCTGTTTGTGTGTCTGGGCCCCAAGAACAGGGGCGCCCCGCTGTCGGCTCAGCGGCTGGCGCATTGGGTCGCCACGGCGGTGCGACGGGCGTATCAGACGCAGGGCCTGGCCCCCCCGGTGGGTTTCAGGTCGCATTCCACGCGTGGGATGGCGGCCTCTACGGCCCTTCTCAGGGGGGCGTCGGTCGAGGACGTTTGCCGTGGGGGGGGGCCTTCGGTCTATTTTCCGCCCTGGTGCAGGAGCTCTTGGGAGAGGCATCCTACAGGTGCGGTACGTTTGTGTGTGTGGTCGGTCTGGTAGTCCACGTCAGGAGCTCTTGGGAGAGGCGTCCTGTGACTACGGATGACCTACGGCTTGTGTTACTTGGGGGTATCCTTGGTAGGAGTGGCCCCGTAACACGCTTGTTTCTTCTGCCCTGAGTCCTCTCACGTTGTGAGGGTCTTGCTCGGGCGGAGCTCCAATCACCCTTCGCTGGCCTGCTGGGAGTACATTTTCCTACGGCCTCCGCGTTGTGTCCCACTAGCGAAGTCCTAAGGGACGTAGCACCATGACGTAGAATTAATAGTTACTTAATGTAACTTAAGTTCTACGAATAGGTGCGTAGTCCCTTAGCTACGAGCCCATCAGGCCAGCCCGGCTTGGCAGAGTTCAAGAGGGGGTGCGGCCTTGTGCAGGGGCATTTATAGAGGAAGGTGGCTGGTGATTGGAGCAAATTATTTTGATCTCTCTGGCGTGTGACCTGGGGGTCACGAGTGATATCCCACTAGCGAAGTCCTAAGGGACTACGCACCTATTCGTAGAACTTACGTTACATTAAGTAACTATTAATTATATCCGTCGCATATGAGTTGCTGCCCCGCACACATCGACAATCTGACGAAAACGGGCAACTCCCAGTAGCGGACCAGTCTCGGGAATAACAGCGCGTTACTCCATCGACAGCAACTGGCCTCAACTACAGTGTGTTTTCTGACATAAACTGTAGAGGGCGCAATACACACACGTTGTTGGAGCAGCGCATGGAGCGCGCACATCGGGTCATATCTCCGAAACTGAGGACAACTAGTTGCCGAAAAGTAGAACACGGGCAACTGACTGAAACTGGAGACCGACTGTTTATCTCCAGTTGTAAGAGCGCGCACATAGACCGATTTTGGCAACGGCAACTGATCATCTCCCACCATCTCCTCTCAGTTGCCAAAAGCCACCTTGCAACTAGTTGTCCCCAGTTTCTCTGTCGATGTACGCTAGGCTTAACGTTCGGTTTATCAACACATATCACAATTTTTAATGTATAAAACTAGTGAATTTCACCTAGATATTTTCAGAAATTAAAGACAAGACGTTATATAATAATTATTTAATGAAAACACAATTTAGAAAATAGGCCACTAGACCTATTTTACTGTTTACTCGGAACATGCTAGCGCGACATCCGACGGGTTTTCCCAGATTGCATCACATATAAAAGACAGGCAGCAGCCTGGGTCTAACTGCACTGGTGGAGAGGCAAGGCACAAAGACCTCGCTGATAGCCCAGCCTACCCGCCTATCCAGAGGTAACAGGATATGAAGATTTAAAACACATGTGACAATATGACCTATGAACTCTAGGTTTGAAAACAATCTTCTCTTCCAACAGAAGAAGTGTCTTCTTTCATGAGACCAACTCAACCCAGATGTTTTCTGGCTTTTTGTTTGTTTATACGTCTAGTCTTTCACTCTTGTCTGGGGGCTGTAAGAATGCTGCCATCTCGCCACCCTCAATGCATGAGTTGGTTAACTAGACTAGACCCTACTAATCTACACACATTTATTAATTTATACACATAACATTTCTTGACACTGGCTCAAGTTTCCCTTATTAAAATCCCCCAGGATAATAATCAGAGAGTCCGGGTATAAATCAGCCGCAGATGCCAAGAAAACAGGCAATATGTCCATGGGAACGGTGGGTCGGATGTTCATAAGTTCCTCATGGGTGTAATAACAGCCAGATGCACAGTTAAAAAGTAAAAACAAAAGCAAAAGAGAGCAGCAAAGAGCCGTGGCGAGCGTACGAGGCGCCATCTTGTTTGTCCTCAATTAAAATAAGGACGAACAATTAAAACTGCTCAGGAACTTTAAACAAATGTACAAAAACTCATTTTCTCTTCATACGTGAATTTGAGGGAGCACGAAGAGCGAAAGATGGCAGGAGGCAACCAGTAGCAAAAGCCAGTAGGATCGACCAACACATTGGAGTAATAGGCCACCTGGAACTGGGCGTCATAACTACAAAAACACACACAATGAAATATATGCTGTAATCATTCATAGCCTCAATCTTCAGTGCTTCCTCAAAGGCAAATTCTTTGTAAAATATAGCATCCAAGTACATAGTACAAAAGTACATTTTTCTGCTTTGAGATCACATGTTCTTATTCATCCACAGGTTTCAAAATTATCAATAACTAGGAGCCAGAGACTAACTAGGAGCATAAGCTAAACTCATTAAAACAGCATATTACAATTTGAAGCTAGGGTACCTAATTTGTTTTGGTTCATTCATAAATACATGATAAACACATGTAGCGTGTGCCAACAGAAGTAGAACAGAGGATTGTAAAAACAAAATATGAACAAATCAGAGCACAGCATGAAGAATTCATGAGTCATAGAACCAAACTATTTTGAGTTTGTTACATCAATTGTTTTCTGGTTTTAAAGTTAGGTTCTTCAGTTTTACAAAAGAGATTCATTAAAAGAGTCATCTGGAAAATCAGATTGTTGCCTGGGAACCCACTGAAAAAACACTTAAAATCTGACGGCCAAAGACAGGTTTACATATTATTTGAATGAAGACTGTATCCTATTAGTTTGATGTATGAGCCCTGTGCAGTGTGTTCATAGATGGACTCTCACTTGTTCTCCAGGACGATCTCTGGCAGCCACAGCATGTTGGAGGGCAGACGCAGCATGTCGATCCCATCAAACTCTGTCATGTTCCAGGACAGCCTGCTGTGCGTCCACGACTGGAAACAAACACTGACACTTAACAGTATTTGAAATATAGTATTTCGGGAAAGTGGACAAAAAGGTTGAACAATGTACAAGAAATAATGCTGAGTTCTAAAATGAATCCCTCCATCAACAGAACTGAGACACAACAAAAGCAATTTCTCTCACTTTTAAACATCCGATTTCTTAATTGTGTACTGTTTATGTACATTATTTTCATTTTTCATTGATTTTTTCTCAAACGAGTGTCTAGATTCAATATTTGTCTTGGTATAGTACATTTTTGAAGTCACTGATTGCAAACTTTGAACAAACCAGTGACATTTGATTATGAAAATGTCACTGGTTAAAATTCGCTTTTACTCACATGATCAATCCATACGTTGCATGCAGCATATACTGTATATCGATGACAACTTTTGTCCAACTCGCTATTGTTCTCATTTTCAGTCATTCCACATCTGTCCTTCAAGGCTTCTGAAATAATGCTTTAATATTAGAGACACTTAAAGTATTAAACTAGCAATATGTAAGATTTTTATGTCAAGTCACAATTAAATGGCCCTAATCTGTCAAAAGGCATTAATAAACCATGCTCTTTTCCAATACTTCTTTAACTGATTACAGTAGTTTAGCCAAGTTTTTCTTAGTTTTACAGAGTCTTAATCTTGTTATTGTTTAAATTTCGAAGTCCCTTCCGCCACCGTTTTACCAATCAGAAAATCAGTGATCCAGGTTGCCAGAACTAACCATCGAGCTAATCGTTGAGCTAATCTCACTGGTGAAGTACCATGTGGCCACAGAACTAAAAAAGTTCTCGTTATGATTCTCAAATCATCAATTGCAAAACAAGGAATTAAACAAGGATGTCTATCAGAGATGTCTTTGTGAAAAAGGTGTTTTTTTTTGACAAAGCTCTTGTCTATTCAGATATTGTGGTCCCAGCTGGATTCGTCTGCATGTCTGAGTCAGGGAGAGTGGGAGAGTGCAGTACCAGGTTTGGCCAGATTTTTGCTCCTTTAAAATATAATTTGTATTTTTTTGTATTTCTCAGGAGGATGGAACTACACTTTTTTTAGCAGTAGAATTTAATGAATTAAGGGAAAATTTGTCTTTATTGAGTTTGTCGTTTAAGTTAGATATTATTAGGCATGTAATTTTGGCCTCTGTCACATTAATTAGATTTTTTACACAGAAATGTGACAGTGGGCAGACTCCCCTGGCCCAAGGAGGCTAACGGGGCTCTTCCTTACAGGTATGTCAAAGATAACATGTTTTCTATCAAGATGAAGAAATCATGCTGAGAACTGAAAATGTGTCCAATAAAGTGAAACAGTGATTACCTATACATTTTTATTTAAATCATACGTTTGTTTAAAAATCCTGACTATAATTTGGCAAAATGATGCAGCCCATTGCTCCAATACAAAGTTGTACCAGTGAGATGAGGTTGGAGAGCGTGAGAGCGAGAAAGACATCCACCGTGTCTTGCTGTCTCTCCACTGGACGCAGCTCTTTGTTGTAGCCTTTTTCTTTAAACAGGAAGTTAATGAGATGCTCATTGATCGCGCTCAAAAACTATTCCAATCGTTTGTGCAGAAAAAAGGTTTTTGTTTTTGAGATATTAATGATTAATTTTTAGGCCAAATTGGGGTCACGCAAACACAAATTGACCTTCAAAATTATCCAAACTGGTGTCAGTCGAAAGTGCTGGTTCTATATCATATGTTGCTTCAGCCTTTTAGGCTTTGCTATTGCATATCTATCGGAAGCGGTGCTTCCCGCTCTGAGAAGATCAAACGATCCACGGCCCCAATCACCTTCACGTCCTGGCGTAGGTCAGTCCCCTATAAATAGTGCCATGCACCACAGCTCTTCTCCTTTTCTCTCTCAGCTTGCCTAAGAGAAGCTTCGATTCAGTTGCTAGGATGTCTTCAAGCAAGATCCCTGCGCCTGAGAACTTGCCACCCTCCGGTGTCAGGCTGCGGATCTGCGACTTGTGCCCTGCGGCACTCTCCCAGGCTGACCGCCACTTGTCCGGCGTCTTCTGCCTGGGCTGGCGTCATGCCGCGGGAGAAAGCCCCAGTTGTTTGGCTTATCTCGCACTCCCCGTGGGAGGAGCGCGATAGACGCTGTGGATTACCCAATTCCGGCTGGAGTTGGTGCCCTTGGAGGCATCGCTCATGGTGTGTTTCTCTCTATCCACGCTGAACAGGTGTATAGCTAATGCACCACAGATGGTTGCCCTAACTAAAAACACCACTCTCCTCGCTACATCCCTGGAGTGGTGCCCATGGTGGCTCGCCCATGGTATGCTACCCTCTATCCACGCCGAACAAGCGTAATGCTAATGCACCACAGATGGTTGCTTTAGCTCATAACATCACTCTCCTCTCTCCATCCTTGGAGCGGTGTCCAGGGTGGCTCGCTCATGGTGTGGCACCATATATCCCCGTTGCTGCTTTGCCTGGTTCTTCGGAGATGTCCGGGCGATGCCGGTCCAGCCCGCCTCGCCTCCGGTGGACTGTCTTCAGTCCCTCACTCCTTCCCCCCAGCAGCGCAGACGTGACTTGTTAGCTCCCAGTTTGGAGCCTCTGCTTCACTATAACAGCCGTGAGGGGATAGGCTCATGACAGTCCCCGGCGCTAGCGTATGTAGTATATGCGGGTGCGGAGGCCTGGCCTTGGCGGTCAGGCTTCAGGATACTGACGCATAGCGACGACTGGTGATCCTGCGCCTCCTCATCAAACGTCCAGAGTGTTGAACCACGTTGCCCACTGAGGGTTTGTGATCAATAGGGACAAAAGCTCCCTTTGCCTTGCCCAGGAGATCCCGTTTCTGAGACTGGGCTTGAATTCCAGGAGCATGACTGCTTCACTTTCGACGGAGAGACAAGCGGCCGTTCAGAACCTGGGCCGGATCCTCCAAGGCGAACCCCAGGTCCAACCGCGGCAGATCCGGTCACTCTTGGGCATGATGGCAGCGGCCCATCCAGCAGTGAGACTGGGGTTGCTGCCCATGCGATATCTCCAGAGGTGAGGTGTGAGAACAGTCTCTGCCCGGTCAGGGCTGTGAGAAGCTATTTAGACTGCACATCTGACCTCAGACGGTCGGATCAGTTGTTTGTGGGGTTTGGCACCAGGAGTCAGGGTGCCGCTTTGTCTCCACAGCGCTTGGCCCACTGGCTTTGCCTTGCTATCCGTTTGGCGTATGAAGCTCAGGGCTTACTGCCTCTGGCCCAGTTGAGGGCTCACTCCACTCGCGGGGTGGCCACTTCGGTCCCCATTCAAACAGAGACCACGACCCATACTCCCCCAAGACCTGGACGCTGTCAGGAAACATCTCCAGGAGCTGTTGGACTCCGGAGTGATCCGAGAATCTGAATCACCTTTCGCATCACCCATAGTGGTGGTAAGGAAGAAGAACGGCAGTGTCAGACTTTGCATCCATTATAGGAAACTCGACACACCAACAATAAAAGACGCATACGCTCTTCCCAAACTTGAAGACACTTTCACAATACTTACAGGATCAAAATATTTCTCAGTTTTGGATTTAAAATCAGGGTATTATCAAATTGAAATGGAGGAAAGGGTGTTGTGGCAAGTTTCATATATTAGAATATATTGTACTAAAATTCACTGATACATTTGCAGACAAAGGCTGCCTGTCTTGTACAAAGAGGCCTTTACTTTCACATGACCTTGGCAGTCTCCCCTGGAGGCGATGGTACCAGGTACCACTCCTTTTGCTCGTTATGATGTTTAATGTTTGACAGGTGTACTATCATTCTTTTGCCCTCCCTTCTTTTACCTCGTCTTCCTGCATAACTCAACCCACCTTACCCCCACTGTGACGTGTCTTGTTCTTTGTTCTAGCTTTGGCAGGGCTATATTACCGAATGTTAGATGTGATCAGACCAGAGAGAGACGACGCAGAGCTTGGGAGTATGCTGCGTCGCTTCTGTCTGACTCTGCAGAGTTTTAATTGTATTTGTTATTCTCATCACCTTTTAAATAAATTGCACAAAGACAAGCTGTTTTCTCTCGGATTCATTCATTGAAGTATTTAAATTTCCACTACAAGGGACAAATGTAAAACGGCTTTTGTGTGCCCATTAGGATTCTGGGAGTTCAATCGAATGCCCCAAGGGGTCACGAATGCGCCATCTACGCTCCAACGATTAATGGAAAAATGTGTCGGCGAGATGAACTTGCGAGATGTTCTTGTGTTTATTGACGACTTGATTGTGTTCGCACGCTGGAGCAACACAAAGAAAGATTGATGGCAGTTCTAAACCGCTTAAAAGAATTTGGACTGAAACTCTCAGTGGAAAAATGCACTTTTTTCCAGACCTCTGTCAGATACCTCGGCCACATAGTTTCCCAATACGGTGTTGAAACAGATCCAAACAAATTTGAAGCATTGAAAACCTGGCCTGAAGTGGAGGCTCAATATTTTAACTGGCCCACTAAGGGATATACACTAGTTGAGGCGGCAACAGTATGGAAAGATTCCGGTCAGAGAATCTGGGTCCAGAGGGGGGATATTTCTCAGTCGTTGGTTTATTAACACATTCACAGTGTGTTACAATTATGTAACGTGTGTGTGTGTGTGTGTGTGTGTGGTCTGCAACAAAGAACAGACAAAAAATATAATGAATAAATGTACAAGCTATACACTGTACATAACTACAAGACATATATTATAATACATAACATACACAACAGCTCTAAATTGACACTGCAATGCTGTAAGAGCAAAATGGTGCGAGACGCAGCGGCAGGCAGTCAACTACACAATTCACGTAAAATAACAATATACTAAAAATAGAATTAACTTTAAACTATGAATTAGCAGGTCAATTAACATTATAACTCTACTTCACTAATGTACGTCAGATCACTCATGCTAAGTGAGACTGAAGAAAACACGTGTTAAGTCTAAACACGGACATATGGTTATAACAGGCACATTGGTCAACTAATCACACATTGCACTTACTTTTTGATCATTTACGCACACTGACACACAGGGAACAACGTTAATGAGTCCTTAATGCACGAAAAAAGTCTCTGCAGCGCATCTAGCTGCCGTGGTTGCTCTATTAATAGTTCACTTTGGAGAGACCCAAGAGGGAAAATGCAGTTAGAAGTTTGTTGATTGAGCATGTTTGGCGCCCCAGGCCCGGGAGAGATTCTGTTGAGCGCGGCGCTTGCTCGCACGCATGATCCCCCCCGGGGCCTAGGCACTGGTGGCGGCAGAGGCAGTAGGCAAGCACGCTTCAATGAGAAACGGAGGAGGTGGGGCGGCGGAGGCTTGCGGACTTCAGAAGGCTGGGAAGTGGGTGTCTCCGGCTTTTAACTTGCTGTCCTGGTGGTTATTGGTTGATTAGATGTGGGCGTTGCTGGTATGATGAGTCGAGGATGAGCAGGCTTGTAGATCTGGGCAAGCAGCGGCCGGGTCTACCACAGTGAACTTTCGCGAAGAGCTTCATTTCACTTTGGAGAGACCCAAGAGGGAAAATGCAGTTAGAAGTTTGTTGATTGAGCATGTTTGGCGCCCCAGGCCCGGGAGAGATTCTGTTGAGCGCGGCGCTTGCTCGCACGCATGATCCCCAAAAACGGGCAGAGTTATCTTTGCGCGCCGGGACGTGAGCGCTCGCATCACAATCAACCGGACGCTGCCTGGGACGTGAGCGCTCGCATCACGATCGATACCAGACGTTGAAGCAGAGTTGCCTTTAGGCGCCGGGACGTGAGCTCGCATCACGATCAACCGGACGCTGACTGGGACGTGAGCGCTTGCATCACGATCGATACCAGACGTTGAAGCAGGGTTGCCTTTAAGTGCCGGGACGTGAGCTCGCATCACGATCAACCGGACGCTGACTGGGACGTGAGCGCTTGCATCACGATCGATACCAGACGTTGAAGCAGAGTTGCCTTTAAGCGCCGGGACGTGAGCTCGCATCACAATCAACCGGACGCTGACTGGGACGTGAGCGCTTGCATCACGATCGATACCAGACGTTGCGGCAGAGTTGCCTTTAAGCGCCGGGACGTGAGCTCGCATCACGATCAACCGGACGCTGCCTGGGACGTGAGCGCTCGCATCACGATCGATACCAGACGTTGAAGCAGAGTTATCTTTAAGCGCCGGGACGTGAGCGCTCGCATCACGATCGATACCAGACGCTGCAGCTGAGTTTCTTTAAAGTGCGTGCCGCCACCAGAATCTTATAGTTCACTTACTTTGCTTTGTATTGCTTTGCTGGGAGCTTACGAGGAAGCCAGTTGCCGTTGTGCAGCCAGGATGGCGGACGCGTCTGGCCTGATGTAGGCGGAGAAGGCCGAAGAGGACCAGCGCCCCAGCTGTTGCAGAGAGGTGTGGGGGAGCCCCAGCGAGGCCGCGCGCGTGGCAGCGCCTATCCTGAATGAGCGAGCTGTGTAGAGCTGGGGAGATAATTTACAGAGGAGCAGTAGGGATCTTAGCTGAGCTCTGAACCAGGTTGCTGTCATGGGAAGAATGG